CCTCTCCTTTTTGGGTCTGGTTAGGGAAATAAGAAGAGACTAAAGTTCCAAATGGAGAATCATAATTCATAACTGCTGTCTTTTCCATATTTTTTACACACAGCATAAGTGAATAAACTGTTATCATATGCCAATTCTCACAACAAAATAAATCCTATTTTAAAGTATAGGAAAGTAACTGCAGTGAAAAGCTACATATGGAATTCCTGCATAATTGTGAATTGCTGCTACCAATTCAGAAAATTCTAAGTAGTAGCTGTTGGCAAACACTATTTTATATCTTTGAAGAAATTCAAGATTTTTCAGGATAATTTTATTTTTTTTCCTCGAACATTGAGAACATTAAATTGATATCTTACTGTTTGGCTGAAGATAACTTTAATTCAAACCAAGTGGCACTATGCACCGCTCAAAACTAAAGATGCACATAAAATTTCAGCTGTAACTTTATTACTCACTTCTGCCTGCTAACTGTTTTGATCATGGAAGTGTTCTTATGCTGAGGATCAGGCAAATGCCATGATACCATGATTGCAAATATTGACAACAGGTAGCTATTTTGGAAATTTTAGAACTGAAACATTAGTGCTGTCCCTCAGTTAAAGTACGCAGGTTTTAGTTGAATATGTGAGGATTAAACTGAGAAATAGATACCAAAGTATCACATCCACAAATCCACGCTCTTACACAAATATCAAATCCTATAGACCCTGAATTATCAAACACTGATGCTGACTAAATTTAAATGCTACGCTGCATACAATCACAGGAGGGCAGTCATTTTTTCTATGAAGTGGATTAGTACCAACCATAATTCCTCACATTGTGCCCACTCAATGAAGAGGAGATTCAATTCAGTGGTTTTTAGTTCCAAAAGCCTAATATGAAAGATTGGTTGGTCTGCCTCTTCCAACTGCACAAAAATCAGCTAATGCCAAATCCATCTTAGCCCAGAACATTATTATAAACAGATCATTTATTTGATTTTCCATAACAGAGACATTCAATCAACTGCCTGAACTGGAAAGTAGCAGAGGAGAAAGAGTAGATACAGATAAAAGAAGTAACTTGAACAAATCTAGCCAATTAGGTGCACTGAGATCTCTTTTCCTACTCTCATCCTAACCCTAGCACTGTCTTCACATGGAAGGAAGGTGGAGGTCATTCACGCCCGGTGGAAATATCCAGTGGGGAATGTATCTCCAGACAACAAGCCAGGAATACTAAAAGATAGATAGAAACCACTGTAAAAACAAAACAAAACAAACAAAAAAAACAACACAAAAAACCCCATGCAAACAAAAAAACCATAGAAATAACAGCACTGCATTTCAAACGACAAGACAGCCTAATATTAGTCACCATTACTGTAACATAATGAGCTGACTTTCTCTGAAGAATCTGTTCTGTAAATCCTTCAGCCCTATCTTTTACCAAGTTAGCCTTCCATTTTATGTATTAGACACATTGTGTTCAGGCTGTGCTACAATGAAGTAAGAGGTTGATCAGACATTAAACAGCAATATTGTTTTATTTTGTCTTCTCCCAAAGATGACTTTGGGAGATCCAACTAAGTTATTGCATTTAGCTCATTCTGCCCACAGAATCTTTGTAACTGTGAGAGCAAGAAAAAATGGATAGCACTGTTCTGCTCATAAGGAAAGTTTATATTCTGCTGCAATCACAGAACTGCAGGATCTAAAATAATCTGCAAAACCCTTTTACCCCAAAGCTTTATTTGAAACTGCATGGATAAAAAACAGTCTCAAAAAGAGAAACAGCTGTATCAACTCAACAGTATAGATAATGCAAACAAAATAATTTTTTTTTTTTTTTCTGTGAGGATGAAAGATTTTCTAGAATATATTTATAGGAATACAGCGTAAGTTGCCAGTCTTTATATACTCTGAGCCCAGATTTTATCTGTGGAGAAGGCTGCAACACCTAACAAATCCAAACAGGAATAAAAGATTTCTATCAAATTTCAGAAGCATGATAACTTGAAAATGAATCACCTGATTTTTACTTTCAAACAAGGAAGGCTTCTTAGCTCTTAAGTACCACTCCAATTTATATTAAATGTTTCTTTTCAGAGTAACTCTTTCCTCCTGTTTATTATTTATGTTTTTCTCAATGCTCCTTCTGCTGCATCATTTGTTTTCTGTATGCAACCAGCCTCTATTTTGAGGAGAGGATGACATTCCTTCATTCTTCACGTAGTTTCCACAATCTCTCAGATTCTCAAGCACTTTCAGGAAGGCATTTTTTTTTTCTCTACAAGTGATTTGATTAAGGCAGGAGGTTTACAATCTCAGCAATTTTCCTTCTGCTCCCTGCAATCCCACCATCACCACCTTCCCCAACTGCAATAGGATTTGATGTTTTAACTCAATGAAATTTAGGGATCCTTTTTCTGGAGTAGTTCCGTTTTAGTTTTCTCATCCAGGAAGAGATCTGTGAAACATAGTCCTTGAAGACACTTTTCCAATAGCTATCACCAGGGAAGAACAGGCTCCCAGGTTGTGATGTGACTATGAGTACATCCTTATGTCCGTTGACAAAAAAATAGTGTCTAGTGCCACAAAGTGTCCCAGAAACGCGGAATTTCAAAAGACAAGCAAACCTATTCTCTGTTTTATAAATTTTCAGTTATTAGGTCATGTGTCACCAAGACCAACAGATTCTGTAGAATACCTATGTGTCCAAGAAGGCAATAGTGGACTGGAGAAATTAAACCGACAATAAAGCTATCTGTATACAGAAGTATAAGATGTTCACCACTGAATACTAAAGGCCCCTTCACATAACGTGTTGTGAGAAATAAAAATACAGCTCTTTATTAAAATGTGTGTGTTCATATGAAGTTTCTCCTTCACACTTTAAAATTATTGTAGTTTCAAAGCCTTTTAAGAAAGTTAGGCTACCAGCTGACAGTCTTGCTAAAGCATAAAGAACAAGACTCAGTCTGTCACTGAAGCCTGTAAGATTTCTTTCAATTGCTCCTAAAGCTACTAATGCAAAGGAATCACTGACCTGACAAAAGCCTCTGGACACTACAGCAAAACAAATAAATGAAGAGACAAAAGTAGTTAGTGTACATTAGGGCTGGAAAACACATAGGGCTAGCATTGTAGTAATAAGATGCTACTGCCATGTAATTGCTTTTCTGACCATATCCAGACATAGTTAAATCACAAAAGATCAGAGCCAGAAAGATCTAGTAGGTCTTCCAGTCCATTCTCATGCCAGTGCAGATGACTGCAGATACTTTTCTGTATCTGTATCAGATAAAAGATCTACTGCTACAGTCAGTGTGGGGGGTCTGGTTTCCATCCAGCTTCAGACCTTAAACAAAATATAACTGGAAATTCACTTTGGTCAAAACCCCACAATTCTCACAACAGATACAGACATTAGACTTTCCTATAAAGGAGCAGTCCTTGGAGTAGTCCTGCCAGACAAAAACACATCTGAGCACATGTTCGAGACAGAAATATCTGAAGGCAAGGCAGAGGCTATAAATGCTGTCTATTGCTAAAATTTTTCCAAATAAAATGAGTGAAACATTAGTAAAATCTGTCCATCACTGACAATAGAACTTAACAGACCTACGCTGCTAAAACAACGCATGCCAACAAAAGTAAAACAGGTTTTACTGATTCTATATCTTCTCATTTTCTAAGTTCTCTGGCAAAAATTGATTTAAGCATGTTCACTTCTAAGGATTTATAAACATGCATACCAAATAGACTAGCTAGGTTGACCATGATATCATCTGCAACACACAAATCAAGTCGAGAGCTGCATTTGGAAGAAGGGTGGTTTTAACTTTCCACTGTACTGTACAGTTTTTAAAGAAATGTAGCATATTAAAAGCATGAAGAAGCTAAATTAAAACACTTACTGTTCTTATATTATGAACCCGAGTTAGTACTAAAGTGGCAATACTGCAAGGACTTGTCCTTCTGTTTCAAGAAAGTTTTAATGTATGAAGAAGATATATGATAAGAAAATACTGTTACCAAGGATTTTGGCAGTAAAGGAACTTGTGTTAGAAGTCAGTTTTGACAATTCTTTGAATCTAAAAGACCTATAAGTACTAAAATGTCATCTGTCTATCCATGTGAGATTTAGCTTTGGCAGTATTTCAAAAGTGAAAAAATGTTCTTTGTTATATATTTTCCCTACGACAATATATTTTCAAAGCTGTCTAAGAGGCCATATTCTCTTGAGAAGTACAGTAAGATGTACATGTGTTACGGAAATATTTGCAGAAAAAAGCTAAGTTTGAATACTCACAACAATCAATGGGTCAAACTGCGGATAAAAGCACAAAGTGTGGAATTTATTGTCAAGAGTTGGCACAAAGATTTCAAATAATTTCTTCAATTTAGAGATTCATTGTTCTGTTCAAGCTAAATTGAACAAACCATTTGGAAGCTAACCTGATAATCCCCATATAAATTTGTCTATTGTTAAATGATGTCACTCTCACCCCCTCTCCCTCCTCTTCTTTTTTTTTAGTTATGGACTATTCCAGATACAGGTCTGGAAAATGGAGCTCTATGGCTCACAGGGCTGGTTTTTTTAATGCTTTAAAAATAAAGAGAGCGAGACAGAAGGATAGAAAAGAAAGTAAGACAAGGAGTATACTAATTGCTCATCCCTGACCTCTTCCAAACCACAGCAAAACTGATAAAAGTTGCCTGAGCTGTTTTCTATGCAGTTCAGTTTGGTGTTTTCAATAGCCACAGGGGTATCAATGCCCCTTTTAAAGCTGGGGCTACACACGGAATAATAAAAGATCTGTAATTACTTTTTTTTAACATGAAAACAAAGGATCTTTAACTTACATTAAAAAAATAAAAAACTATGAAAAGATTATTCACTAACTGTAGTTGCTGATCAGTCCAACTATGGTGAATTCTGCCAACTGTGCTCAGCTGATAAAGACATTAAAATAACAAGAAATTACTACATGTAATTTTCTAAGTACTTACACATTCTTGGATTTGAATGCTTCAGCAAAGTGCTGCACACTCTGAAGAGAAGTAAGGTCTAAGGTCATTGCTTCTACCTTGGCTTTATGCTGGAACAAGAGAAAATACAAAAAAAAGATAAATAACAGCAAGTTTAGTTCACAGTGTCATGTTACAGTAAACGTGTAACTTGAAACTTGTCCCATTCCCTTGTTTAACATTATAGCCCCAAAGTGAATACAAATCATCAAAATGAATGGACGAGCACAACATTTAGTGCCAAAAGTAGCATTGCAATTTTGTTGTTCTGCTAAAAACATACACTATGTAACACACAGCCTTATACTATACAATGAATTGACACAAGGTAGTGTTAAGGTTAATATGGTATCTTTTTTCTTTCATTTTGCTGGTGAAACTTACGTAACTCTTGAAATAAAAAGTAGAGTAAGCATTATTCTTACTGCATGGTATTTTTTACATACCATACCAACAAAAAAAATTCAGTAAATATTCTATAAAAACTAGCTAAATTCAAACTCACACATATTAATCCAAAACAATCTATTGTTCATAGCAGGTGATATAAAAGACAGTATAATATGAGTATAGAAAACAACTGATCAGCCTACACAGTTTTTTCATACAATAAGAGTTTATCAATGCATAATATCTTCTAAAGGAATTGCGTATGTACTTAAAACCAACTTTTCACGTAGGAGAGGATGTGCAATCCCACAAAATGGCAGGTTAACCTGAAGGTGCTAACCTTAGGTGCCACCAAAACAACTCTTCTCAATTTTCAGCTTTAAGATCTTTGTTCTCAGATCTTTTGAAACGCTTATACTCCAAACCTCAGAATAAAATGAACCGAAAATCTATTTTCATTGCAACCACTAAAGTGAAAGTCATCACAGAACCAAGTGGACTGTGGCTCTTTCAAGCCACAGTTCTGAACTAGCTTTCATTTGACTGCAGCTGCGTGTCTGCACCACAACATCCAACAGCTCTCTTTAGTCCTTCCACAAACGCTGTACTTTAAGACATTTACGATCCTCTGCAAAATACCGACAGTCATGACATACCAGTCACGTAGAACCCCTAAGGAATTACGAATGTGTGTATTTGTGCTCACCCTCACTTTTAGACTCACTGCTGCCCAACACCACGTAAACTCTCTGGTACATAAAAGAAAGCTGGCAAAAGCTCTGTACTCTCCCCAAACCTAAACATGTCAACTTTGAGTCCACTCTGCCTAGCTTCCTCAGCAAAAAAGAAATTAGAGGGACACTTCACATAATTCCAACATGCTACCTACACCTACATGTAACGGTCACGGTTCAGACTGGACATCAGCACTGCTGAAAGAAAGAGCAAGCAAAAGATGGAGCAGATACAGTGGTATTATGCAATCAAAGGCAGCATTTATGTGGAGAGGCGATAGGGGCTTTGTTAGCACCACAGCGCAATGGGGGATCTACTGTGATTACAAGGTTCTACAACGAGCATTTCTGGAGGAACAAAAAGGAAGCAGCACACATGTCAGGGCAGAAGGAAGCCAAGAAGAGTGCTCCCATTGTCTCCCAAGTTCAAGCAATTCATCTGATCGTGTTTCATTACATCTGGTACTTTTCTCCCTACATCTGTTTTCTATTTTACTAGCACCCATTCTGCCTGCCACAATTACCTTATAGGTTGGATTTAAACAGAATGTCACTCAAATTCCTTTTGTCCCACTCCAGCCAGACTTACAAGGACAGCAAAATAAATACAACTAAAATTTCAACAGGTTCAGTTCCCATAGGAAGTATCAACTGATGGAGTCTGAAAATGCTAAATCAAACTTTGTTACAAAGAGTTTTTTTACCCTCACAAAATGCACATCATTCTGGAATTCATTTTGCCCCACTGGGTAAATATTTTCTTCTGTTTGATGGTCCAAGACTTGAGAAAGATGATGCTGCCTTGCATTATGCAATAGAGCTCTGTAACAGCTTCTCTTCAAGTTTGCAGTTCAAAGCTGTTTACTTAATAGAGAAGCAGCGTGCATAGTTGGGTTTATTTTGCTTCTGCTTTCCTCAGCTGGAACATTCTCCTGTCTCTCCCAAGGGTAAAAGGACAAGAATGCTACAAATACAGGGACATAAAGGAGGGGGGGAGTGTCAAAAAAAAAAATAATCAAGTAGTTTAACAGACTATACCACAACCTGTTAGCTACTGTTCTCTTGGGGACACAGATTCAAGTCCACATGATATTACTCAGATAATGCTTTGCCTCTTGGTGCCATGTGTCAGGCTTCTGCTACTGATCCCAAGAACAGAAGAGAGGTGTCTGTGTATTTCAAGTCCAAAAGGAAGAAAAAAAAAAAGTATGACACTTCAAAAGAAATTAAGCACACTAAGATTGGCCTGGATTTGTGGATTAATATATTGAAAATGTAAAAATCAGAAATTTAAAAGCCATAAATAAATTATTGAAAGTGAGAAATGGTTGACTGTTAGATAGCAAATGTAAACTATAATTATGTTTCTTCTGTACCAGTTTCATCAATGAAAGGAGACCACCTTTCTATATATAATCCATTTTCTTCAGCCACTAAGGTAATCTATTTCAAACAATTTAACACTACTTCACCTTTTTTTATTTTAGCTTTGACACGCATACAGTTACAGAAAAAGACAAAGAAAAAGATTTGTTAAGAAATTCAGGAAATTATATCTAAAATAACCTGAAAAAGGAAAAATGAAAAAGGAAAAAAAGGATGGGTTTAGTAATATAGTAATGTCACAATTTCTTTAAAAAAAGCTATGAATAAGGCAATATACTTGCAAGGTGTGTTCTTAATAACGTAAGAATATCTCCAATCAATGATGAGTAGAAGAGTTTTTGTTTGTTTTCTTACAGTAGCTCAGTATTACCTTTGTTATAATGTTTTGCTTCTT